TCCTTCCAGACAGCTCTCCTGATGTCTGTGGATTGGTTAGCAGCGACCATAGAAACGTGTGTCATGGTGAGCCCATACGTTGCCTCTTGGTAGCGTGTTCGTCGTCCTTGACGTTGATGTCGCCTATGGCTGCGTTGGGATCCAGACTGAGGGCCTTTTTTTCGCTTTGTATCTCCTGGGCGAAGGCTCTCGCCGACTCAACGTAGCCATCGTGTTGGAGGAACTGCAAGACCAGTGCTTGGATCATGTCTGTTTCCTTCATGTTGTGCGCAAGACTCGACGTGCTTGTCCTTGCTATTTCTTTTCGTACATGAAGCTTCTCTTTCTGTGTATCCTTGTCAGCGACGAATAAGCGTGAGGTGCGGGGCCTGTCATGACCTACCGCCATCATGTTGTCGATGTCATATGTGAATGGTGACTGCCCGAAATTGACCCGAATGTGCTCGCCCGTCTTCTTGAGCCCAACTGATGGATAGAGATTCCCCTTAATGTCCTTAAACACGTGCCCGAGCATGTGGCCGTTTTTGGTATAAAACGCCGACCCTGTCCGAAAATTGACACCACATCCGATAACATCGTTGGTCGTAAACAGAGGACCGTACGACTTTCCCCCGCTGTGGGCGGCATAACAGTGGCCATCGTCGCCGTGGTAGCCCCAAGATTCGGGCTCCCAGCCTGGGGGCCTGGAGAGGGCTACAGACTTGCCAGAAAACCCAATGCCAACCATGGTGTCGTCGCGCTTGCCTGATAGGATGGTGACCTCATAGTAGTAGATACCGCACTGCGGCGGCATGTAGTGGTCTGCTCGTATGCTGTATGCTTCGTGTTCCCGCTCGCGCTCGCTCTGGCCTCGTGGTCCGCTATATCTGATTTCAAGACCGTCGGCGAGCACCTCGAGCGCGCCGTACTTATCGTCCTTGTTCCACTTGGTCGGCAGTGACGACACGGCATCATCTTCTTCAGACGGCGGCGGTGGCTTCTCGACAACGTCGTATGCCAGGCCTCGATGTGACGGGGACTTGCTGTGTAGTGTAATGGCACTTGGACTCGCTGGTGAGGAAGCCTGGTTCTGCGAATCTCTCTGGGCTTGAAGCTTCAAGCGGTGCTGCTCCTGCAACCTCTGCACAAATGTTGATCCGGTAAGGTATGACGGGACGAAGAAGGCCTTGCCGTCTGCCGAAGCCGAGTCATTGGAGGGATCCTGGCTCGCCATGTACAGATTGAAGGCTTTGGAGAAGGATGGCAGCTGAGAACTGTGTCGCCACGGCCTCGCCGCGTGTCCTGCGCCGTTTGTGTCCGCCTCCATCCTGTCTCTTGCCGTGCCGATATTATAGCTTGACGTGGTATCGAAGGCCGCGTCGTCGGGTGCGTTGAGGAGGTGTGAAATGACCGAGGTGCGCCCCGGATGGGTTAGAAACGAAGGTGTCGAGTCGCTGGGGCCTGTTGAAACGACCGAGGCGTAGGAAAAGCGACGAGGCAAGAGTCCCGAGCTGGAAGCAGGTGTGTCCGAATCTTGAAAGCCCTGGGAACCTTGTTGGTAGGGGTTCGTCATAGTGAGGGGTCGTCAGTAGCCGGGCAAGGGCGATGCAGCCAGCGACCGCGACGTTAACCGGAGGGCCGGCGGCAAGACTTCGGATGCCTCCTCGGACCAAGAACCGGAATCGAAGAGTAAGTGTTCAGTCAAAGGAGGAACACCTGGTTGGTAACAGGACAAGCTCCCGTCCTGCGATCCAAGGGGGACGAGGTCGTTTGGTCGGTAGATAAGAGTTGGGGGCTTCGGTGTTGTCAACGGATAGGCCGTGTCGTCACGTCGGAGCTAGATGGCTGGTGTCCGTCCAGTACTCGTTTCGGGTGGAGTGAGGGTTGTACGCGTCGTCCTCAAGGTTCGATGATCTAGCCTACGTCCTGGAGCTTGGCTAGCGTCACACACACGCCGCAAAAGCTACTGTCTGGCTTAAGATGGCAGTCGTTGTTGCGGGCACGAAAGAAGGTCGTCCAGAAGGTCGAGATGGGCGGAGAGTATGCCTATGCATAGGTAGGTGGTACCCATGGACGTCCCTTCATGCCCCTCGCTGGACAGCCCCCCCCCCCCCCAGCCAGTGCCGATTACAGCAGGGCGTCCCATCACGCGGGTGGTCTCCTTGGGCCGTCGCATCAGCTAGGCCGGCTTGGTCGAGCGCTAAGCAGAGTCGGTCACAGCGCCCTGCACCCACAGCCCAGTACCAGGTGGCAGCGTAAGGCGAGCCACCCCGCCCATGCCAGCCCCAGCTGGGGGGTCCAACAGTGGCCGTGAACAGCAATATAGTCACTGATAATTCGTTGGGGCTGCACTCACCACGTTCGCTGCCCAAGGTCAAACTCAGAGTCGGTGACGCGTGAGTTGCCTGTAATTGCCCTCCAATCCACCGACGTAATGATAAGTAAAATGGCGACGCAACACATCAGCCCAATGCTCGACAGGTAACTGTCTCTTCCTTGGGTACCCACCTACCTAGGTAAGGTAGCTCAGTTGGAAGGCACTGTGGATCCAAACCGAAGACGTTATCCGACAAGGAGCTCGCGAATCGCACGCGGCTTACCTAATCTTGCTGGCCAGCCCGCAACCTCGCGTCTTCATCGCCATCAATGCGCCTGGCTAGACAGAGTCGCTGTTGGAGGCCAAGTGTCCACGCTGATGACTCGCTGTAGGCCATTCATCCTGCCATTCAGATGCACAACGGAGGCCACCTGTCTGGTGGCCAACATTGAAGCTTCGAGCAGCCCTGAATGACCGCGGCATACTGTACAATGTGCATCATTGTCAACGGGAAATCGAAGCGACAACAGGATAGAGCTGCCTTTCTCAGCAACATTTCTCGAAAGGCCCAAGTCACGCAACCGACAGGGTAATTGGGATGGCCTCAAGTCATGTGTGATTTGCGCAGTGTTGGGTTTCATGTCTATTCGAAAAGAATTGATCCACGACAAATGCTTGAACGACCGCCAACGTAATACATGTGCCTTGCCTGGCAAACGCCGAACACCCTCGAGCAGCTCAAAAGGCCAATCATGCTCTGTGAAAATCTCGCCCCAACGCCTGCAAAATCGCATCGCTCCATAAAGGGCCCAAGGAGCCCTGCACTTGCTGTAAATGAGAGATAAACCCCAAACCGCCTGAAAAATTCAGCGGCACGGGTCACCTGCCTCGTTTTCCGACCAGGCGCCCAAACTCCACTCAACCATCTGTACATATCCTACGAGACGTCACAAAGCCACGGGCGTGGATGACATATCTCTCAAGCGGCGGGGATGGCCATCGGGAGCTGGGCGAGCTTGGATTGACGGCGCTGCCGGGCCCGCTGTTTGGCCTCGACGCCGGCGGCGCTGTTTGCATTGCTGTTTGGCATGGCACTGTTGGCATCGCTCTTGGTTCGTCATTGACCTCTTTGTTCTCCTTTGAACTGCTGTCGGCAGAGGCAGCGTTGGAGTCATCTGACGGCTGGATGACAATGTGAGGCGCGCGGTCCAGCGAGGAATCTCCCATACGACTCCCGTGAAGCTCTCATCGGGAATCCACCCTTGGAC